GCAGGGGAGCATGTATAGTTCCTTTATATAAAGGGAAGGGGGAAAAAAAGAGATTGTAAAAAATAGGGGAATAAGTTTTTCTGGTATACCAGGAAAAATGTACAGTAGGGTTATTACTGAAAGAATTAGAGGTAAGACAGAAAATAGGACTGCGGATAAGCAAGGCGGCTTCAGAGTGGGTAGGGGATGTGTAGATCAAGTGTTTACATTGAAGCATATATGTGAACAGTATTTAGATAAAAGTAGGGAAGTTTTTATTGCATTTATGGATTTAGAAAAGGCATATGATAGAGTGGATAGAGGAGCAATGTGGCAGATGTTGCAAGTAAATGAAATAGGTGGTAAGTTACTAAATGCTGTAAAGAGTTTTTATGAGGATAGTGAGGCTCAGGTTAGGGTGTGTAGAAGAGAGGGAGACTACTTCCCGGTAAAAGTAGGTCTTAGACAGGGATGTGTTTTGTCACCATGGTTGTTTAATATATTTATAGATGGGGTTGTAAAAGAAGTAAATGCTAGGGTGTTCTGGAGAGGGGTGGGATTATATTATGGGGAATCAAATTCAAAATGGGAATTAACACAGTTACTTTTTGTTGATGATACTGTGCTTATGGGAGATTCTAAAGAAAAATTGCAAAGGTTAGTGGATGAGTTTGGGAAGGTGTGTAAAGGTAGAAAGTTGAAAGTGAACATAGAAAAGAGTAAGGTGATGAGGGTATCAAATGATTTAGATAAAGAAAAATTGGATATCAAATTGGGGAGGAGGAGTATGGAAGAAGTGAATGTTTTAGATACTTGGGAGTTGACGTGTCGGCGGATGGATTTATGAAGGATGAGGTTAATCATAGAAATTGATGAGGGAAAAAAGGTGAGTGGTGCATTGAGGTATATGTGGAGTCAAAAAACGTTATCTATGGAGGCAAAGAAGGGAATGTATGAAAGTATAGTAGTACCAACACTCTTATATGGGTGTGAAGCTTGGGTGGTAAATGTAGCAGCGAGGAAGACGGTTGGAGGCAGTGGAGATGTCCTGTCTAAGGGCAATGTGTGGTGTAAATATTATGCAGAAAATTCGGAGTGTGGAAATTAGGAAAAGGTGTGTTAATAAAAGTATTAGTCAGAGGGCAGAAGAGGGGTTGTTGAGGTGGTTTGGTCATTTAGAGAGAATGGATCAAAGTAGAATGACATAGAAAGCATATAAATCTATAGGGGAAGGAAGGCGAGGTAGGGGTCATCCTCGAAAGGGTTGGAGGGGGTAAAGGAGGTTTTGTGGGCAAGGGGCTTGGACTTCCAGCAAGTGTGCATAAGCATGTTAAATAGGAGTGAATGGAGACGAATGGTTTTTGGGACCTGGTGAGCTGTTGGAGTGTGAGCGGGGTAATATTTAGTGAAGGGATTCAGGGAAACCGGTTATTTTTATATAGCCGGACGTGAGTCCTGGAAATGGGAAGTACAATGCCTGCACTTTAAAGGAGGGGTTTGGGATATTGGTAGTTTGGTGGGATGTGTAATAGGACGTTTTATATATATAATTGGGGCCCAGATATTGTATTTAATTCAGGTCATTTTTTATATTGTATCTTTATATATGCTTCTAAACTGTTGTATGGGTGCCTCTGAAAAAACAGTGATTATGTATAAGTGAGGTGAAAGTGTTGAATGATGATGAAAGTATTTTTGTTTTGAGGATTTTCTTTCTTTTTGGGTCACCCTGCCTAGGTGGGAGACGGCCGACTTCTTGAAAAAAAATAATAATAGTACAGTGGACCCCCGCATAACGATGGCATCACATAGCGATTTTTCCGCATACCGCTTACTTTTATCGCAAAATTTTTGCCGCGCATACCGATTAAAAACCCGCTCACCGATTTTCGTCCGAGACGCGTCCAATGTGCCCTCAGCCAGCCTCACATGTGCCGCCCGTCCCATTGTTTACCAGCCAGCCTCCGCGGTAACATCCAAGCATACACTCGGAATATTTCGTATTATTACAGTGTTTTCGGTTGCTGTTTCTGGAAAATAAGTGACCATGGGCCCCAAGAAAGCTTCTAGTGCCAACCCTGTGGTAAAAAGGGTGAGAATTAGTATGGAAATTAAGAAAGATTTTGAAGGGTTTGGGGGCTAACCCTGAGAAGCCTATGCCAGTTGTGGAATCCATTGTGCCAAACTTCAAAGTTTAAAGGGAAAATGTGTGCACAGTGGGTTGAACTGCAAACCTTTATGGATGAAAATCACCCTGACACAGCTGTTGCAAGCCGTGCTGGTGACTATTTCAATGACAAATGTTGTGGCCCATTTTAGACAAATCGTAAAGGAAAGGGAGGTACAGAGCTCTATGGACAGATTTGTTGTGCGACAAGGGTCCAGTGACTCTCAAGCTGGTCTAGTGGCATTAAAAGAAGAAGGGAAGTAACCCCGGAAAAGGACTTGCTACCTCAAGTCGTAATGGAAGGGGATTCCCCTTCTAAACAGTAAGAAGATAATGCTCTCCCCTCCTCCCATCCATCAATCATAAACCAGATCTTCAATAAAAGTAAGTGTCATGTAAGTGTGCATGCCTTTTTCAGTTTGTGTGTATTAAAATTAATATTTCATGTGGTAAAAAAATTTTTTTTTCATACTTTTGGGTGTCTTGCACGGATTAATTTTATTTCCATTATTTCTTATGGGGAAAATTCATTCACATAACGATTATTTCGCATAACAATTACCCCTCTTGCACGGATTAAAATCGTTAACCGGGGGTCCACTGTATAATAATAATAATATAACACTATATAATAATAATTATAATAATAGATGGCTTCAAAAGGCCCTCACTAGATGGCAGTGATTACCACAACAATACGGGAGCGGTTGTGGCCGCCTCCACTTGTCACATAATGACATTTTTTATTCATTCTAGAGTATATATCAGGTTTCTATGTTATTTATATTATTTGTTATGTCATATTAGATGAATTGTCGTAGATAAATAAGCTATATAGGTGATATTATCAAAATGCTGAAGTATTTTGTTGTGCCCCCTGAGAGCTGGGAATGGATTAATTGCATTTCAATTAATTTAAATGGTGAAAATTGACTCTGCAAACGAGCAAATCTAGATGCGAGCAAGGTCCACTGTAGATATTATCATGTCTCTCTCTTTTCCTCCAGCAAGTACATATTTAGGACTTTCAGACATTCCCAGTACAGCCTTTTATGATGTGTGGCATTTGGGCTACTGGTCAAAAATTTTTAGCTAGTGCTCTACTGCTTCCTTTATAAACCAGTGGGATTTCTTATGCCTAAATCAGTTTTCTTTCTGGTTATTTTCTATTATGGATCTCAATACAATATAATGCAGAGTAGGACAATATTTAAAGATAAATATCCAAAAAGTGTGGGATTTTTCTGAAACTGAGTTTTATGTACATACTAAACAGAAAATAGAAAAAATTTAAATGTCACAAAAATGCAGATTTTTGTACCATATTATTTGCAGCTTCAAAATTATGGGGTTTCCAGGAACCTAACCCTCATGAATTCTAAGGCTAAAATGTATTTTCAATAAATATAACTGCATTAAATATCACTGCAGAATTAATAGAGTATATAGTTTATAAAGTACCCAACAGACTTGAATGAATGTTTTAAATGGGACTTTTTAGATTTAGATTTTGTTGCCTAAGTTGCTAGCTTATAGTTTATTGCACACTCTATATCCGTACTGTTGACAGTAGTGTAAGAGCATATTGATACACAAAAGGCCTAGGAACTAGGCCCCAAAAGGGTTAACAGGAGTACATCTAGATTTAAATCTACAATTGTTTTATCTGATGTAAGAGAATTTAGGAAACTAAATATGTCTGGTATCTTATTTTTATTATTAAGATACCATGACGTATCACATAGGTTATACTACCTCTATATTCCTCAATAAATGGACAATTAAGCACATAGTGTTCAAGAAAGTGACCATAAAACTGACCACACACTTTTGCATTTAGTTTGATCATCATTATTGTGTCTCCCAAACTGCCAGAAGTAGTACTTGTAACCAAGCCTGGCTACAACAACATACATCAATCTGTTCACATTGCAAGTTGCTCTGCAGACAAGCTTATCTATATTCATGTTATAGTGAATGATAGATTTACTCAGGCTTCTAGCTGCATCCCTGTGATATGCACTTTCATTACATACTTCCCTCCTAATATTATTCCTAATGCAAGACAGACATGTATTCATTAATTTTTTACAGATTTCTGAGTACGTATCTATAATTGACTTATCCAAAGAGCATACTATTAAAATCATCATGTGAGTTAGGTGCTCTCAGTGAAGACATAGAATCAGTAATAATCAAAGAGTCAAGCTTAGTGTTATAAGTTAACTTTAGTTTCTAGTGATGAAAATGCACAGATTTAGCACTGCAAGTAGGCTCCTGCTTAGACCCATAAGTGTATATAGTTTACAATAAATGTATAGTGATCTAAGGAAGGGCTTGCTAGAGATGAGCTTCTTGGGAGGAACTTTCAGATATTTGATATTAGATGAATACAGCTTCCATGGAGGTGTGAAGTGCTCTTGTTATCTATAATGATACAGTTTGTGCAGGTTATATAAATTACCAGAAAAATAATTGCATGTTCACACATCCCATTTAGATCTGTGTTTATTAGATTGGAGTGAGTGAATACAAATGATTTTATTGACATGATGTGCTGATAGTGTGTGAACATGGTAACATTTATGAAGAAATTCAGGAAAACTGGTTAGCCATGCTTCAGTCCTAGAGATGGGAAGAGCAATGCCTGCACTCTACACCTGAGGTGAAGATGCTGCAGTTTGGAGGCCCATCAATGTCAACACTCTTCTGGCAAGGCAGAATTGCATGAATGATGCTGAATGTGTTTCCCACCCCCTTTCCTTTTTTTTTTTTTTTTTTTTTTGGTCACCCTACCTTGGTGGGAGACAGACTGTGCAGTACAGTATTTTAAAAAAGCAAACAGCATACTTGCCTGCATATGCTCTCTTACTGCGGTCAGGCTCAGTGGCAGCAATTGACCGCCATGGTAACACACGGTGATTGGCATCATACCACTTTAAAAGTCTCTCTCGTACTTCCACCACATCAATTTCTGTGAACTGGTGTAAGCTACCTATTAGAGGTAAAGATGCTTTTTTGATGCTCTTCACCATAGCTGAAATGACAACACATAACACAGTAAATAAATCTTTATCCAATGACTGGTTATTCTCCTCCTGTCATCATCTGGCAGTCTTGTTCAACAAGGCGCCTTAACGATAATATAAAGAAGTAACGTTAAAAACAAAGGGACAATCAAATAATTATGAAATCATCCAGTACTGTTTAAAATCCAGTGCACCTCATCCCTGAAGGAGCAAGATAATTGATAATCTCCTGAATTAGAAAAAACCTGGTGGAAGCACTGATGTCCATACAGGGGTGAAAGATAGGGAGGAAACAGAAAAAATAAATGCACCAGCAGCGAATGCAGCTACAATAAATCCTAACAAACAGAATTACAATCTAAGTAAATACTATGCCTTGGGTATCTGCAGGCATGGTATATCTGGTAAAACAGGTGGGACATGCACCTTTGACCATCCCAAAAAAGCACCCACATGACAACAGGAGAGTGCAACTTCCCCTCCTGTAACTTATTTGACCCAGAAATGTGTCACTCATCAGTCCATGAAAGAAAATGCTACAATGCATACTGCCAGGCACATCACCTAAAGGGGACTAGAAGACACAGACCAGCCAGACTGTGGGAAACAAAAAAGGGGAGCCACAGCCTCTCCAGGGACAGAGGTTTTTTTAGGGCCAGGAGGAAAAAAGAATGGCAAGAAATGACAATAATCTTACACCAACTGAAAACACTTCTGGAGTAGAGGCACGGACATTGGCCTTTACTCCAGAACAATAGATATTAGAGCCAGCAAATAAAATCCCCCTAAATTCCACCAGTATAACAACATTTGTCTCTGCACACATCCCGGGTCTACAGCCGCCAAACAACAACAAAATTCCTTACATTAGGGGACTGCTCACGGAGTCAAATGGCAATGTTTGCAGCATTCACAGATCCACATAAAGGATCATTATGACAACGAAATATGGATCCCAGGTTATAAACCTATTCCGATGCGAAAGACGAAACAAGCAACAAGGGGGGGGGGATTGGCCTTTACGTCACAGAGTCGCTATTTGCACAGAACTACTAAACACATCAAATGATGTAGTTGAAGTTTTGGCAGTAAAGAGTGAAAACCAAAACCTTGTCATTGTGGTGGATTACAACTCTCCAGATGCAACTTCCCAGCAATTCCAGGAGCAACTTGAGAAAACTGTATATCAATGGTTCAGAGAACTGACACGTTGATAAATTAGACACATATGCAACTCTTGGGTATCTTTATTGAGGAAACGTTTCGCCACACAGTGGCTTCACAGTCCATACAAAGGAGAATCTTGAAGAACAGGAGGAGAATGAGGTAATCAGTCCCTCAGCCTTGAGTCGATGTGGTCAGTCCATCATCTTGAATAGATTCCATAGTGGACCCCCGCTTAACGATCACCTCCCAATGCGACCAATTATGTAAGTGTATTTATGTAAGTGCGTTTGTACGTGTATGTTTGGGGGTCTGAAATGGACTAATCTACTTCACAATATTCCTTATGGGAACAATTCGGTCAGTACTGGCACCTGAATATACTTCTGGAATGAAAAAATATCGTTAACCGGGGGTTCACTGTACTTGCAACATCTGCCACATTGCTTCCCTATCCACTCTATCATATGCCTTTTCTAAATCCATATATGCAATAAAAACTTCCCTACCTTTATCTAAATACTGTTCACATATATGCTTCAATGTAAACACTTGATCTACACATCCCCTACCCACTCTAAAACCTCCTTGCTCATTCCGCAATTCTACATTCTGTCTTACCTCTAATTCTTTCAATAATAACCCTACTGTACACTTTTCCTGGTATACTCAGTAAACTTATTCCTCTATAATTTTTACAATCTCTTTTGTCCCCTTCCCTTTATATAAAGGTGACTGTACACGCTCTCCGCCAATCCCTAGGTACCTTCCCTCTTTCATACATTTATTAACCCGTAAACGGTCCAAGCAGATCTACGTTCACATGTGGAGTGCTACAAAAGTAGATCTACGTTTTTTTTTTTTCATATTTTCAAATATAACAAAAAAAAAAGTAGATCAAAGTTTTTTTACACATTTTCAAATGTAAAAAAACAAAAAGAAGATCTACTTTTTTACATACTTTCAATGTTTGAAAAAACGTATATATACGTTTGACGTTTACGAGTTAAACAAAAATACCAACCACTCCAACACTATGTCCCCCCTGCTTTTAACATTCTGTCATGATCCCATCAGTTCCAGCTGGTTTACCCCCTTCATTCTACATAATGCCTCATGCAACTCCCCTTTCATTCTACGTAATGCCTCCGCAACTCCCCCATACTCACATCCTGCTCTTCTTCATCCTAAAAGATGGTATACCTCCCTGGCCAGTGCATGAAATTACCGCCTCCCTTTCTTCGTCGACATTTAAAAGTTCTCAAAATATTCTCACCTTCTACCCATAAACCTCCATCTCCCCATCTACTAACTCCCCTACTCTGTTTTTAACTGACAAATCCATTTGTTCCCTAGGCTTTCTTATCTTGTTTAACTCACTCCAAAATTTTTTCTTATTTTCATTAAAATTTCTTGACAGTACCTCTCCCACTCCACTCTATCATCCGCTCTCCTTTTACTGTCTCTCACCACTCTCTTCACCTTTCTTTTACTCTCCATATACTCTGCTCTTCTTATAAACACTTCTGCTTTGTAAATACCTCTCATAAACTAACTTTTTCTCTTTTATCACACCCTTTACTTCATCATTCCACCAATCACTCCTCATTCCTCCTGCACCCACCCTCCTATAATCACAAACTTCTGCCCCACATTCTAATACTGCATTTTTAAAACTATTCCAACCCTCTTCAACCCCCCTTCACTACTCATACCTGCACCAACCTACCTTTCTGCCAACAGTTGCTTATATTTCACCCGAACTTCCTTCTCCCTTAGTTTATACACTTTCACCTCCCACTTGTTGTTGCATTTTCCTCTTATCCCATCTACCTCTTACTCTAACTGTAGCTACAACTAGATAATCATCCGATATATCAGTTGCCCCTCTATAAACGTGTACATCCTGGTGCCTACCCATCAACCTTTTATCCACTAATACATTATCTAACAAACTACTTTCATTATGTGCTACATCATACCTTGTATATTTATTTATACTCTTTTTCATATGTATTACTTATTACCAAACCTCTTTCTACACATAGCTCAATTAAAGGCTCCCCATTTTCATTTACCCCTAGCACCCCAAATTTACCTACGACTCCCTCCACAACATTTTTACCCACTTTAGCATTAAAATCCCCAACCACAAGTACTCTCACACTTGGTTAAAAACTCCCCACGCATTCACTCAACATTTCCCAAAATCTCTCTCTCTCCTCTATACCTCTCTCTTCCCCAGGTGCATATACGCTTACTATAACCCACTTCTCTGTTCCACAAGGCACAGTACTCGCTCCCATCTTGTTCCTCATCCTCATATCCGACATAGACAAGGATGTCAGCCACAGCACCGTGTCTTCCTTTGCAGATGACACCCGAATCTGCATGACAGTGTCTTCCATTGCAGACACTGCAAGGCTCCAGGCGGACATCAACCAAATCTTTCAGTGGGCTGCAGAAAACAATATGAAGTTCAACGATGAGAAATTTCAATTACTCAGATATGGTAAACACGAGGAAAATTAAATCTTCATCAGAGTACAAAACAAATTCTGGCCACAAAATAGAGCGTAACACCAATGTCAAAGACCTGGGAGTGATCATGTCGGAGGATCTCACCTTCAAGGACCATAACATTGTATCAATCGCATCAGCTAGAAAAATGACAGGATGGATAATGAGAACCTTCAAAACTAGGAGGCCAAGCCCATGATGACACTCTTCAGGTCACTTGTTCTATCTAGGCTGGAATATTGCTGCACACTAACAGCACCTTTCAAGACAGGTGAAATTGCTGACTTAGAAAATGTACAGAGAACCTTCACGGCGCGCATAACGCCTCAATTACTGGGAGCGCTTGAGGTTCCTGAACCTGTATTCCCCTGGAACGCAGGTGGGAGAGATACATGATTATATACACTTGGAAAATCCTAGAGGGACTAGTACCGAACTTGCACACGAAAATCACTCCACTACGAAAGCAAAAGACTTGGCAGACGATGCAACATCCCCCCAATGAAAAGCAGGGGTGTCACTAGCACGTTAAGAGACCATACAATAAGTGTCAGGGGCCCGAGACTGTTCAACTGCCTCCCAGCATACATAAGGGGGATTACCAACAGACCCCTGGCAGTCTTCAAGCTGGCACTGGACAAGCACCTAAAGTCGGTTCCTGACCAGCCGGGCTGTGGCTCGTACGTTGGTTTGCGTGCAGCCAGCAGCAACAGCCTGGTTGATCAGGCTCTGATCCACCAGGAGGCCTGGTCACGGGACCGGGCCGTGGGGGTGTTGACCCCCGGAACTCTCTCCAGGTAAACTCCAGGTAAACTCTCACATCCAACCTTTATTTTACTCCACATAATCCTTGAATTAATACATTTATAGTCCCTCTTTTCCTGCCATAGCTTATCCTTCAACATTATTCCTACTCCTTCTTTAGTTCTAACTCTATTAGAAACCCCTGACCTAATCCCATTTATTCCTCTCCACTGAAACTCACCCACCCCCTTCAGCTTTGTTTCACTTAAAGCCAGGACATCCAGCTTCTTCTCATTCATAACATCCACAATCATCTCTTTCTTATCATTCGCACAACATCCACACACATTCAGACTTCCCACTTTGACAATTTTCTTCTTATTCTTTTTAGTAATTATTACAGGAAAAGAAGTTACTAGCCCATTGTTCCCGGCATTTTAGTTGACTTTTACAACACACATGGCTTACGGAGGAAAGATTCTTATTCCACTTCCCCATGGATATAAAAGGAAAAGTAATTAGAACAAGAACTAAGATAAAATCAAAGAAAACTCAGATGAGTGTGTATAAATAAATGTGTAGTGTGACCTAAGTGTAAGTAGAAGTAGCAAGACGTACCTGTAATCTTGCATATTTATGAGACAGACAAAAGACACAAGCAATCCTACCATCATGTAAAACAATTACAAGGCTTTCATTTTACACTCCACTTGGCAGAACGCAAGTACCTCCCTGGGTGGTTGCTGTCTACCAACCTACTACCTATAACTATTAAATTAAATGTCTGCACCAAATTCACCTTAAACCAGCAAATAGTAGAGCCTATAAGTCTTGAAAATACACTGGACCTCATCTTCACTAAGAACGACAATCTGATATGTAATATAACTGTATCAAACACAATACACTCAGATCACAACATAATAGAGGTACAGACATGTATGCACAGGGCTCCTGACCAGCAAAATGTGAGCAGTAATGAAGGTCTTCACGAAATTCAATTTCAATAACAAAAACATACAATGGGATCAATAAAATCATGTCCTAAATGAAACAAGCTGGGAATATATCCTAAATAACACAGATCCAAACATTTGCCTTGAAAAAATGAATTCTGTGGTTCTTGAGATCTGCTCAAGACACATTCCATTAAGAAAAAGAAAGAGAAGATGTAAACTAGAAAGAGAGAGACGCTCCCTATACAGACGAAGGCAAAGAGTCACAGAGCTGCTGAGTGGGGCCAATATATCTGAAATACGAAGGGAGGCACTAGTCAATGAAATTGCAAATATCGAAATTAAGCTGAAGGAATCTTACAGGAGACAAGAATCACAGGAAGAACTAAAAGCCATAAAGGAAATTGAAAAAAAAAAAAAATACTTCTTCTCTTATGCCAAATCTAAGGGAAAAACAACATCCAGTATTGGGCCCCTGCTTATGCGGGATGGGAATACACAGATGACAGCCAAGAAATGAGTGAGATACTAAAGTGTTCAGCGAGCCACTTCCCAGACTAAGGGTCGACAATCCAAATGAATCCTTTATGAACGAAACCCAAAATTAGGTCATCTCAAAAATCTCGGATATTATCGTAACCCCAGAAGACTTTGAAGAGGCAGTAAATGATATGCTCATGCACTCTGCCCCAGGCCCAGACTCATGGAACTCCGTGTTCATCAAGAATTGCAAGAAGGCCCTATTGCGTGCCTTCAGCATTTTATGGAGAGGGAGCATGGATATAGGGGTCATCCCACATACACTAAAAACACGAGACATAGCCCCACTCCACAAAGGTGGCAGTAAAGCAATTGCAAAGAACTACAGACTGATAGCACTAACATCCCATATCATAAAAATCTTTGAGAGGGTTCTAAGAAGCAAGATCGGCAACCACCTACATACCCATCAATTACACAACCCAGGGCAACACAGGTTTAGAGGTCACTCCTGCCTGTCCCAGCTACCAGACCACTATGACAAGGTCTTGGATGCTGTAGAGGACAAACAAAATACAGGTGTATTGTACACAGACTTTGCAAAAGCTTTCGACAAGTGTGACCATGGTGTAATAGCACACAAAATGCATGATAAAGGAATAATAGGAAAAGTTCGTAGATGGATCTATAACTTCCTGACAAATAGAACACAAAGAGTATGTAATAGTAAACAGAGTAAGTCCCAGGCAGCCACGGTAAAAAGCTCTATTCCACAAGGCACAGTACTCGCTCCCATTCTATTCCTCCTCCTCATTTCTGACATAGACAGAGATGTAAGCCATAGCTCCGTGTCTTCCTCTGCAGATGACACCCAGATTATCATGGCAGTGACCTCCTTTGAAGATACAGTGAGATTCCAAGCGGACATAAACCAAATCTTCAAATGGGCCACTCAAAACAAAATGAAGTTCAACAAGGAGAAATTTCAACTACTCAGATATGGGAAACTTGAGGAAATTAAAAATGTATCAGGGTATATGACAAATTCTAACCATACAATAGAGTGAAAAAGTAATGTGAAGGACCTGAGAGTGATAATGCCAGAGAATCTCACCTTCAAAGACCACAACAATGTATCTACCTCATCTGCTAGGAAAATGATAGGATGGATAATGAGAACCTTCAAAACTAGGGACACCAAGCCCATGATTCTCTTCAAATCGCTTGTGCTCTCTAGGCTGGAATACTGCTGTACACTAATGGCCCCCTTCAAGGCCGGTGACATTGCAGACCTGGAGAGTGTACAAAGAACTTTCACGGTACACATAAGTACGATAAGGCACCTAAATTACTTAGAACAGTTGAAGGTCCTTGATCTGTATTCCCTGGAAGGCAAGCGAGAGAGATACATGATAATATACACGTGGAAGGTCCTGGAGGGACTGTACCAAACCTACACACGAAAATCACTATCAAAGCAAAAGAGTCAGCAGGAGATGCAACATTCCCCCGATGAAAAGCAGGGGTGCCATGATTACATTAAAAGAGAACACAGTAAGTGTCTGGGGCCCAAGACTGTTCGACTGTCTCCCAGCATACATAAGGGGGATTACCAATAGACCCCTGGCTGTCTTTAAGAAGGCACTGGACAGGCACCTAAAGTCAGTACCTGACCAACCGGCTGTGGTTCACACATCAGCTTGTGTGTGGCCAGCAGTAACAGCCTGGTTGATCAGACCCTGATCCACCATGAGGCCTGGTCTCAGACAGAGCCGTGGGGGCACTGACCCGTGAAACCCTCTCTAGGTAAACTCCAGGTTAGCTGTGCCAGTAAATTTCAAAGGCAATTACAAAACTTCTTGGTTGTTAAATATGATTATACTTATAACAGAAAACACACACTTTAAAGTTAATTATTATTATAATCAAGGGGGAAACGCTAAACCCGGAGGATTATACAGTTTTAAAGTTAAACAAATAATTACAAGACTAAAAATTATTAAGAAACACACAGAAAAATTAAACATTTGTGTATAATGAACCATTAGAAGCTTGTGAAATTTATAGTAGACAGCAGAAAGGAATACTTTTATAGACATTATGAACAAAAAAAATAGTAATTTGCATATCAGGTGTGCCTGAGGTTTTAAGTAAATCATATAACAATACTCTATACATACTGTACAGAAATATTTACTAGACATACAGTTACTATATTATGTTCATGGGAAAGTGCCTGGTGGCCTGGTGGCTAAAGCTCCCGCTTCACACATAGAGAACCCGGGTTCGATTCCCGGCAGGTGGAAACATTTCAACACGTTCCTTTACACCTGTTGTCCTGTTCAATGTTCAAATAGCAGCAAATATGTACCTGGGTGTTAGTCGACTGGTGTGGGCCGCATCCTGGGGTATAAGATTGAAGACCCCAATGGAAATAAGTTAGACAGTCCTCGATGACTCACTGACTTTCTTGGGTTATCCTGGGTGGCTAACCCTCCGGGGTTAAAAATCCGAACGAAACCTCTCTCTCTCTTACCAGAAGGGCCTTACAATGTATAAAGGTGAAAAAAAGATAATACTATTTTATTTCAGCATGATGCAATCTTTCTACGAAGATGAATGACATTAAGGTGTGCATGCAGGAAACCCATTAATATGCAGAGCTTTTCCGGCTACTTTAAGATTAACAAGGGAATGACTAAAAAGGTAAATTAGACAGAGGCACTAACGAAGAGGATATCAACAGAAAGAAAAGGATTTTTATAAAAGCAGCAACACTACTAGCCAACACTGCTAGAAACAGATCTAGTTCCTCGGATCATGAGCTCCTCACCAGCATCAAGGACCTTCAAGAGAGCAGGGATGTGTATGACAAATTAACATAACCTTTCCCACATCCACTAACACTCCCAATACACCCATATACATCAGTAATCTCAACGAATACACAAATTACAAGTGTCACCTTAATATTGTAGTTTTATTTTTATATTATTATTATAATATGTGACGGCCCCAGCAGCTTCTGGTTTGTGTTTGTTGTGTTTATAAGAGCCACTGACAGCTTACCAAATATCCAGCCTGACTTACTTATTATAATGTAATAATAATATATGTTTGGGGAAGATATGTTGCCTAAAGCTGGTCTTTGAAACAGAAAAGACAAGCAAGAGTTCTTTTGTAAATATAAAATAATAATCTTGAAATTCCCAATTAGATCAGGTGACGACCCTTGATGAGACCCAGCAGAGCCAGAGACAACCATGGGTATCCAATGGAAACAAGTCATTTTGATTTTTTTGGGGGTTATCCTAGGTAATTTACACTATGTATGATAATTGTTCTTATGTGTACCTGTGCCTAAATAAACTTACTAATCTTCACTGTCGAAACGTGTCGTCTGCACAGCAGGTACCTTAGTCGAATATAGAAGCGACTTCAACGTGTCTCCAACATTTAAGTTAGTTTAATATGTTTATTAGGCACACCATACCCATCCTGTGGGTGGTAGTCAAAAGATTACAGAGGTATATAATGGGTTCAGGGACTGGGCCCCAAAGTTTTGATAGCTGAGGGGCTTAAGCCCCTCAGGGTGTTAAAAAACCCTTTAACGTTCTATCATAGGAATACTGGAGGGATTTGTATGTGTTTCTGGCTAATAGACTGACCACTTCTGATGGACTGATTACATCGTCTTCACATCTCTACTGTTCCTGCCTACTTTCTGTATTCGACTGAAGAAGCCTACTGTGTAGCGAACGTTTCGGAATAAAGTTGTCTAACTTTGCATATGTGGGCTTACCCAACAACAAAAAAA